AGAGAAAACCGTTAAAGGAGTATAAAAAGGAAAAGAGGACATAGAAAGAAGACCCCGAATCAATCACTCTCAACATAGAATATGTAATTTCAATTCATTTATTTTCTAAGTGCAAATTGTCAATTTATTTCGTGTGATTGTGCCACTTCGAGGCGTTTTACTTCTTCCTAATTGTAATTTTCATAAATAAAGCACCCCTTTTTGGAATTTTGTCTCAAGGGGTTTGTATCTTACACAATTGTCTGAACCTATCTTTTAATTGTTAGCGATAACCTGGACGAAACACAAGGATAAAGCATCGTTGAGGTGTGGGCCGCGTTGACTCTATGAGATATTTGATTTCAATTTGTTCAGAGTATTATTTGTTATTGATATTTCATTAGAGTCAGAGAGTTTCGATCTTGTCTATGCTACATCAACGGTTCTATTGCATGACCTCTCCTTAACAAATTGTAATTTAAGCTAATCTAATAGTCTAGATCTATTAATATCTTTATTGGAGTGTGTTTAAACGTGGAAAAATAAATATTAAAATGATTTTATAAATAAAGGCTGTGATTTTTTGTCAAAAATATTAGTCAACAAGGAATGATCCCAACATTGTTTTAGATAATGTAGAAGTGTAGTTTATATTAAATTATAAGGTATTCAAAATAAATTGACAGATTTTAAAATAAACAAATTGTGATATATGAGGATACGACTTGGGAGAGTCCAAATTGGACTCTAGCGTTAAAATCCATTTGAACTCTCCAATAATCCTTTTATAAATATAATGGGGATGACACACGCCAATCCCAAGCTCTCCAACGGTGATTCTTTTTCTCCCTTTTTTTGGTGAACACAAGTTTGTCTTTTAATTAATAGTTTTATTTTTGAATATTATATTTACGAATCTAGATTTCTAAGTAGTAATCAATGTGCTCACACTTGTGGTTTCGAACTCGAAAATGGGTTGGAAGATTGGTGGTGGTCGTCCATATCGTAATAACGAGCCAACTATACTGATCACCTTTCAAAGGTAATTTAGTTTATATCATAGTAGTTTAATGAATATTTTGGCTTTTTTCTACTTTGATTTGTTCAATTTATGAAATTCTTTCTAGACTATTTCATCTCTTTGTCTCGTTTTGTCTATTAGAATTTTGTTTGTGAAGGTCTCACCTATGAAAGAATGCCACTTTTCTATTATTTAGCGATGCATATCATACGAAAGTTAATAGTTGGTAACATATTAGATTTTTTAAAATCATAGAAAAGGTTACAATTGTGGGTTTTTCTAAGCCTAAAAATCTATTGATAAATAGCTTAGAGATACCATAATCTCCTTGACAAATTTTATGGCTTCTTGTCAAAACTCTTCACATTCTCAACTATTCTTAAGCACTAGGTGGAGTTAGGCGGTCATACTCCTAAGTTTTTAAATTTGTATATTTTTGCTTTTGTTTTTTCATAAATAACAGTAATTTTAAAAGCATAAATAGTTTAACAAATTTAATTTATCAAAGAAAATACCATCAATAAATAACTTAATAAAAATGTAAAAATTATATGCTCTGTTGGGAAAAATAGAAAGTATAAATCGTTGGCGAAGGTCAGCAAGGGCATCCCTATTAGTAACGTTAAAGATTGAAAAACTGTCCCCTCAGCCATATATCCTAAGACACCCATAAGCAAGATTGAGATGAGCTCACTTTATTATCTCAGCTCCATCAAATTTAATAGTTAATACCAAATTCACTTCTGAAATATGACATTTTTTTCTTAGGAATATAAAAAAGATGAAGAAATAACCTAATAGCGAAGAACCATAATTTATCCTCACTATATTCTCTTCATTTTGTGGCTAACCTGATCCTAGAATAAAAATTGTTCTAAATGGCAACAAACCTCAATCAATCAATCATTCTAGCTTGCAACATATTCATTGTTATTGGTCAGGTTATCTAACCCATATATATAAAGTTTTGCAGGGTTAAGCATCAATCAATCTAACTTGCAACATATTCATCTTTCATAAATCAACACTAAATCTCAAATATAGTCGTTATTATCGGTCAGGTTATCTAACCCATACAAGCACACAACGTAATAAAATAAAATATTTTTGAAATTCTTTAGCTTTTTTGTAATTTTCTCATGTATACTAAAGCAATACTAAAAATAAACACACTAAAACACACAAACATACCAAAAACAAAAACTCAAAGTTTGTTTCACCCCCAAACTTAAAACCAACATTTGACTAAATTAATGTTTTCCTTTAACTAGGCTAAGTGTTAATGATGAAGATGACCCCCAAAACTAAATTGAAATGTACATTTAACTAATGCAACCTATAAATCAAGAATAACACAATATGCAATTCAATATGGAGAGCAGGGGCGGACGTAGAAGTTTAAAGTTAGAGGGCACAATCGAACTTGCAAAGAAGTTGGGAGAAATTTTACAATCGAAAATTTACGTTCAAAAAAATCATACCCCATGTAATTTTACATCCAAAATTTAAATGAGATATGACTTTTTAGGATGCAAAATTTCAAAAAATTTTAATGTCATATTCCATATAAAATTTCCTAATAAAATGATGAAAATTATATTGAGAAATTTGTATCGCAAAAATAATAAATGTTAATGAAATAATTGAATTTTTTTTAAAAAAATGCGAGTTAGACGTCTTTCTTTAAAACTCACGTTTAACTATTTTCGATATCTGTTTAGACTATTCGACGTGCCCATATGTAGTTCTCGAAATAAGTTTTAAGATGACATAAACAATTTGTAGATT